ATAGGTAACAATCTCATCATTTTTAGGTGCTGTTTCTATGGCCAAAAAATGCATAGGACACCTTTGCTAGTGTCTTGAGAGCACCGTTTGCAAGTATCCAAGAAGAGTGTCACAAGAGATTAAAAATTCCAACTCCATGCAAATAAGCAGACTGAAACTGGCATGAGGATACACAACTAGAAGGGTCCAGAGAAGACACACATCCTCTTCTCAGTCCTGTACCAACAGTCCATGAAATAAAATCTTTACATGCACTCAACTCCAATAAAATCAAGCAAAAGCAATAATCACTGGCCTTCCCAAAATCTGACTAGGCCCATGATCTTCTCTGGCCCCTTCTCTCCTACTGTCTTCAGCTCACTTTCATTCATCTTATCCTTCTCTCCTGCTAAATTCTCTCTCCTCTCCTCCTTGTCCTTTTCCTCCACACAGCTCATCCTCTCAAGATTCACCCCTCACCATCCAAAAATGAATAATGTAACATGCTGCCAAAAGACAAGAGTCATTCTCAGAGTCTTGAAAAGCCTTTTCAGCTATCTTGTCTCTGCCAATGCAATTAGATAATCCCTAGAGCCAGATGATGAGATATAATGTACATGGAGTCAGCTTCAACACTGCCCTACACTGTACGCCAATCTGTGCATGGAAAATAGGAGAGACATTCACATACCTAGGACTTGTAGCAAGGAAGCAGTTAAATACGTGATTTTAAATAAGGCAATTAATATACCATGAAATACTGCTTGTTTTCTGCCTGAGAGCCAGCTATAGGCACTGTAAATTTCATTACATGAATCCATATGGAGCAGACTGTACAAGATAACTCCATCAAAGTCCCTCCCTCCTCACTCTGCTGTCCCCACAACAGATTTATACTGAAGCAGGAAGACATCTGCGACCTGCTTCCAAACCAGATTTGTGCAGTCTTCACACAGGCACAAGGTCTTGGTTTCAGTGTCTCCACTTTCTAGAGACTGTTGGCCCCTCGTCTCATCAGAGAGGTGTGCTTCTTGATGAATCTTGCTTCTTGATGAATCTTAGCAAAGGAACAGCTGCAAAGCAGGCTGCTCCAAAACCTTCTGCTCTTACCTAGGCCAGCATCAAGGCACAACTGGGGAGCAGTTCTGTACACACATCAGGTCAGCAAGGCCAATATTTCTCACACTTCCTGCAGAAGACATCTGTCACCTGGATGTAGTACACTAGCAAGACTCACATACAAGCACTTTGACTGGGAAATGGCTGCTCTTAGCAGCTGACTAACCAACCAAGCCAAATAAGCCTCAGGTCCACCCAGCTAGACTTGGAAGATTTTGGCAAAAACAAATACATCACATAATTGTATTTACTCTGAATAATGCTAATAATGCTTCTCCCAAAGGGCAAAGATCTCTCTCCTCGTTAAACAAGAGCATTCAGTACAGTCATTAAGAAAACAGCATGTAGAGGAACTTCTCACTTCCAGATGGCTTTAAAACTTCAAACCTCACACCACTCCATAAACATTTCTCACCCTTTCTTCTTGACTTATGCAGAGAAAAGGCTGTTGGCTGCAACCCTGATAGGAGCACAGTGATGACAAAACAAGCAAGCACTGAGAAAGGTGTCTGCTTGTTACAACTAGTCTGCAAGTGCCACTTTAGAGCTACACGCAACTAGTGCTGGGTTTCAGTTTCCCATCCCATGTGTCCTTGTTTGCCACCAGCTTTCATGGCAATGAAAAGGGCTTCATTAAAAACAAGAAGAGTGGACAAACATGTCCCTCTTGCTAAATCAAGTATTGTAATAAGATACAGTTTTTTGCAAGGAGCAAACACTCATCCCAGGACCGTTTTGTAAGACAGGACAGACACAGACCAGACTCAGTCACGAGCAGTCAGCCCACTGGAGCATGGTGTGGTCCAGCTGTCATTTTATTATACTCGACACAAACATTCCCAGGTGATTTCACCAGAACAGTCAGCTCCTCACATCTCACCCTGTTCCCAGCTTTCTCTTTCCCCTTTCATCAGAAACAGCAGTAAGGGACAGTTTTATCACAGATGTTAGTGAACAACCCTCTGGCTCAGAGAAAGGCCACCCACAGCAACACATCCATAGTATTGCTGCAGCTTTCTCCAGTTGTGCCTTGCAAACCCCAGGAGAGACTCCCTCACTCTCCTGGTGACCTGCACCACCCTCTTTAGGTTGATGTCTTTAGGTTGAGACTTCTGCTCATGGGTTTCCATGCCTAGCCTGAAGAACCAGCAGAGAAGGGAGTACTTTCTGAGACACCTACCTCCTGCCCCCAGAGAAGACTCACTAGCAGCCTGCAGGAAGCCTGGTGGCTTGGGCTTGTAATTCTCTGAATGACAGGGTCATTAATAGTATGAGTGTACTCAGAAACATCAAGTCCTATGCATCACCAGGCAGACGGAGAGGCAGTCCCTGGTTTGTAGCCTGAAAAGAAACTAGGACACCCTTCACAACACCAAGGAAATTACTGCACTATTGGGCTGCTGCAAGAGCACATAGAGGCTTTGCCAAGACACCCCTTTGCTCCATTGTTTTGGGGCCATCCTCATCTCATCCCAGTAGCAGCTCTTGCTTCCCCATGATAAAGATCCCTATCACAAAGGCAAATGCTCCTCTCTCCCGTCCTCTCCTGCGCAGTGACTCCTCATTTATAACAAGCTTTTTCCATGAGAGTGTACATCAATAAATTAAAGTCAAACCCTCATACAGCCAGAGGATCATATCATGGAATGGTTTTAGTTGGAAGGGACCACAAAAGATCATCTGATTCCAACCCCCCTGCCATGGGCAGGGACAGCTTCCACTAGCCCAGGTTGCTCAGAGCTCCGTCCAACCTGGCCTTGAACCCTTCCAGGGAGGGGGCAGCCACAGCTTCTCTGGGCAGCCTGTGCCAGTGCCTCACCACCCTCACAGTGAAGAATTTCTTCCTTACATCTAATCTAAATCTACCCTCTCTCAGTTTAAAACCATTGCCCCTCATCCTATCCCTGCACTCCCTGGTAAAAAGTCCATCCCCATCTTTCCTGTAGGCCACCTTTAAGTACTGGAAGGCCACTATAAGGTCTTCCTGGGACCTTTTCTTCTCCAGGCTCAACAACCCCAACTCTCTCAGCCTGTCTTTACAAGGCAAGAGCTCCAGCCCCCTGATCATCTTTGTGGCCTCTTCTGGACTCACTCTAACTGGTCTATGTCCTTATGTTGGGGGCCCAACACAGTACTCCGGGTGAGGTCTCATGTGAGTAAAGTAGAGGGGGAGAATCAACCTGCTGGCCACACTTCTCCTGATGCAGCCAGGATATGGTTGGCTTTCTGGACTGCAAGCACCCATTGCTGGCTCATAGTCAGTTTTCCATCCACTGCTACGCCCAGGTGCTTCTCCTCAGGGCTGCTCTCAATCCACTCTTTGCACAGTCTGTATTTGTCCTTGGGATTGCCTCAAGCCATGTGCAGGACCTTGCACTTGGACTTGTTGAACTTCATGAGGCCCATCTCTCAAGCCTGTCAAGGTCCCTCTGGATGGCACATCCCTTCCCTCCAGTGTGTCAGCCGCACCATGCAGCTGGGTGTCATTGGCAAACTTCTGAGGGTGCACTCAATCCCACTCTCCATGTCACCACCAAAGATGTTAAACAGCACTTGTCCCAACACCAATCCCTGAAGAACACCACTTGTCACTGCTCTCCACTCAGACATTGAGCTCTCTGAGTGCGACCATCCAGCCATTTCTTTATGCACCGAGTCCTCCATCCATCCACGTGTCACCAGTTTAGAGCCAAAGATGTCCTGTGGGACAGTATCAAATGCTTTGCACAAGTCCAGGTAGATGATGCCAGTCGCTCTTCCCTTATCCATCCAAACCTTGTGTTAAAAGGGTCATGCTGTCTTATCTCATTTTAAGCATTCCTCACCTTAGGGTGTGAAAGGTTTTAGGTAAGGCTGTAAAAAATACACTGCTGTCACTACAGAGGAAATATTGCTAAGAACTGATCACAGAGATGGATATTTAACAGATTATTTTCTCCCCAACAACTGCACACAGCAGGCAGCAGTACTGCACAAGGCCATCTTCCAGTCCTCTGGTACCTAGAAGGCTGCTTGCTGGTGCACCAAGAAGATGTAGGTGCTGTAACACACCTCCAGCATTTCAGCTTCTTTCTTAAAGGAAATGTAAACCTTTTCTTTTGCCCGGAGAAGGCAGAAAGCCCAAACATTAACTGCAACTCTGTTTCAGCTCAGGAAGCAGTTCCAAGCACAAATGAGGAAATTTGTGGCAAAGGAATAGTAGAAGAAGCAGCTAAAATAGTTAAGTTGTTGCAGGTGAGATTCAGGAAATATTCAAGAGCTCTTCAAGAGCAAGAGCAATATACTGTGAGCAAGAGAGGCTAAAGTTGCAGTCAAATGAAGAAAATAGAAAGGGGCTCATAAATTTAGGCAGATTTAATATAGAAAAGCACAACCAACAGGATGAGAAACAATTTCTATATGACACAAAAGCTACTAAACTCTTTCTTAAGCACAACCACAGCAGGATTTTCAAGGTTCACCTCCTCCGAGTTTATAATGGTCCATCCCAAAATGCAAGAAAACAAGCAAAGACAGAATGAGACCTGCATGAGACCAGGACATCCTCATTTCACAACCATAAAAAGCATACACCCAGGAGGGGGAAAAAGGGACAAGTGTCCTGGGAGGAATATAGAAACACTGTCCAAAGATGCAGGGTTGGGTTCAGGAAAGCTAAAGTTGTATCTGGCAAGGCATGTAAAGGGTAACATGAAAGGTTTCTACTGGTACATCATCAGCAAAAGAACTACTAGGGAAAAAGTGGGCCTGCTGAGAATGGGAATGGGGCCTGGGTGAGAAAAGACACCAGATATGCTGAGGCACTGAATGCTTTCTTTATCTCAGACTTAACTGCTAACACCAGCCTTCAGGTATCCTAGGCCCCTGGGACTTGTGGAAAGTCCAAGGCAAGGAAGACTTACCCTTGGTGGAAGAGGATCAGGTCAGGGAACGTTTAAACAGGTTGAACATACACAAGAGCCTGAGGGGATGCACCCACAGGAGCTGAGGAAGGTGGCCCATGTTGTTGCAAGGTCATTCTTGGTTTACTCAGAAAGGTCTCGGCAATCAGGGAACATCCCTGAGCCCTGGAAGAAGGAAAATGTCACCCTTATCTTCAAAAAGGGCTAGACAGAGGCTCTGAAAAACAACAGATCCTTCAGCCTGAGCTTGATCAGGTAGTTAAATGTAAGAAGAAACTTTTTTACTGTGAGGGTGGTCAAACATGTTGCTGAGAGAGGCTGTGGAGTCTCTAATCTTAGAGATACTCAAAACCCAACCAGACAATGCCCTGAACAACCTGCTGTAGGTGAACCTCATTTGAGCTGGCAGTTGGACTAGATGATCACCAAAGGTGCCACTCTCAGCCATGCTGCAACCCTGTGAAAACTGCAGTGATCTCTTAGGGAGAGCATCCTGAGCAGATATGGTGAAATCAGACTAAAACTTTCTCTCTACTTACACCATGAAGGAGATGGGAGAAGTTCTCATTACACAACACTGCCTGCCAGGGACTCATCAGTCTGTCCCTGCTCAGGGGAAGGGAAACAAGCAACAACTCAACCAGCTGACTTAAAGCAACAAAAATAGCTGGACTACAGTGTGCACGTATTTAAATCCAACCATATGAGGAAAGCAAGAAATCAATGTTAGAAGGTTTTCAGGAGAGGCTGGGGAAAGGAAAACAACATCAAAAAGTAAAAAACAGAACAAAGTTAGACATACAGACATACAGATAAAAATGAGATAGATGGAAAGCCAGCACACCTTTTGTAAACACTTGCCAGGCCTCATCAGTCAAACTGCAAACAAAAGCTGAAATTTCTGTGTACTCAGTTTCCAATACATTGTTCCTCACCACAGTTGATAAGGCAGCATGAGGTCAGCAGAAGGTCCTCAAATGGCCAAGTGGTTTGTGAAAAATGGGAAATACCTACTTTTTGTGTGCTGCCGGCTTAAATTCAAAATACACTCTTAACACCCTATTTATGTGCCTACATGACTCCCAGGAAGGATAAATTCATAGAACAGAGGCAGATCATCACATATCTTGGGAGTCCATCTTTTATTCTATTCTTCTCATTCTTTTCTCTACATCCTTCAATAAGGATCTTTTTCTAAAATTCTCCAGTAATGGACAAACCATCATCTTCCTGTGAAACTTATCTCTGTACTTCAGCTGCCCTTTAAGATTACAAACCTTTTTACTGTTTACAAAATTAAATCTCCTTTTGTGCAGTCAGTGCCCCTTGCGTATCCCATTTAGCCAGATTACAGGAAACAGACTATTCCCTTCTTCCTGCAGCAAGCTTTCCTCCACAGTTAACACATAGCTTATGAGTCTTCTCCAATTTTTACCTCGTTCTCCTTCTGTCACCCACATTTTCTCAACAGTTGATGAATTTGTCCTCCTCGCTTCCACTCTCTTTGGCTGATCTGTATTTTTCCAAAAGAGTTGGACCTAAAACTGGCATACATCTGTTTTACTAACATGAATGAACAGATGCTCCTTTATAATTTACCAGATACTCTCCTGCTCATATTTATAATTTCCTTGCTATAGCATGTCACTGGGTCATGTTCAGCCTGGAATGAACTGCAGCCCCTGGACACTTTTCATCAGAACCACGCTGGGTCTGACAGTACTGCATCATCTGAAGACCTGGACCTTTACTACTGAACCACATCCTGATTTTCCCATGCTATTTCTTCAGCTGATCAAGGCAATTTCAAATGAGAGCCCTGTCCTTCCGCAAACTTCCTGATCCATCTGGTTTCCTGTTTATTATTTATTCCTTTGTCCTAATTACTAACAAAATTACCAAACAGCATCAGACAGAAGGAAGAACCCTGCAAAACTCTTCTCAATAAATCCTCACATTTTGATAATTAACTGTCACATAAACTCTCCTGTATATAGTTTCCTCATGTACCTTACCATAGACGTGTATCTAGAGCCTATTCCCTTATCTTAATTGTGTGGGACAGCACTGAACATTTTCCTGAAGTCAAGATAACATTTCCTGCTTCTCCACTTTCACCGCACTCACCACCCTTTGCAGGAGGAAATCAAAATGTTTTGACATCATTGATTTTGCCATGCTTATCCTGCTTCTTTCAGTTCATTATTTCTGCCACATGTTCCACTTTTTCTTGTTGTTCTGACACTCTCATGGAGAGGCTCAAGCCTCCCTCTATCCAGAGCTCAGGACTGTCCTCCAACCTCTGCAGAGTCCTCAGAGACAGCTTGCTAATTGCTCTGACTTAATTTTGGATGGTTCTTCATGTGTCCTGCAGCCCACACTGACTGGGGTCTCCACACAGATGCCATGAGCCCTGCCTAACATCACCTACCTCACTGTAGCCCAAATCACCACTCATTCCTTCTTGCTGTTGCAGAGAAATTTAGCCATGTTTGGGAGGAGCTCTGTATTTGTCCATCTAAGAAACCAGTACAGTTGGAAGCTGCCAGCCAGGACTGTACTGCTGGGATGACCACAGAGCATGCCCAGCCAACTAGGTGGCAATTCACTGGCTAAGCTAACCGGTACCCCACTATCCACTGGCGTCCAGGGACTGAACTGCATGCAGGACAGAAAACTGCTGCTTGTTCCTAACAGCCAACTAGGAGTGCAAGTTCTTCGGTATGTCCAAGCTCTTGTTGTTATGGGGCTTCGGGAAGAGGTTTTTCCAACACACAAGACTGAGCTCCATGTCCAGTACACCAAGGTCACTCACAGAAAGTCTCAACTGCAGCAGGAGAAGAGCTCCTGTCTCTCCTGTGACCAGAGATCTGGAGCAACACCCAGGAGTCCAAATTCAAAATCAAGTGAGCCAGGACACCTCCTGTCACAGCACACCTTCTCAGGCTGCACAAAGTCTTGCTGCTACTGTGGAAAGTCTTGCCCGCAGTGATGTGCATCCTAGCAGCTCTCTGCAGGACAGACTGCCTCACACCCCTGCCTGCACTGACTGTGGTCAGCACGCCAACAAATGCTCCTGTGCAGACATGCTTATCTACAGGCAAGACAGGGATGAGCAGCATCTTCACCTTTTGCCCTGTGAGAAGTATTGCTTTCGGATTAGTTTCTGCATGCCAAGATGGACCAGCAACACTGCTGTGATTGTATTAATGCAATTACAGGCTTTAGCTTCTACTGAAACAGTATTACCACATATATAGGCCTGGAAAGCCCAGCGGTTAATAACAGGATAAGTAAAGGTGTCTGTGCTTTGCAGTACATGGAAAGCAACAGCTCTAGAAATCCAGAGAACAACCACAGCTCACACTTCACAGCTCCACGGATAACTCCATCAATCCCATTCTCTTTTCTTCTTCCTTTTATTGCAGTTACCACTCTCTAATTTCGTAACAGAAATTGTCTTTTTCTTCACAGGAAGGGGGTGGGGGAGAACTCCCAGAGAACACTTTCTTTGGAAAATTTATGCATTCCTGGCAATTTGATTGCTTTTGTAAGTAATCTATCATGCACCTGAAGTGCTAAGGTATGGACAACAGGCCCAAGCCAGGGTTGACCTACAGATGAATTATAGATGAATCCCATATATTTTATAACTGATAACCATTGTGCTAGTAGGTATTGTACTAAGTTATAACAACCTGCTTATGCTGATATAAAAAGTGCTAAAGCTTTGAAATACTGCAGCCTGAACAACAGGCGCCAAGCCGAAGCTGCTAACAAAGTATGGAATCATTAACAATGTAAACTCGCTAATGAAAGATGCAGCCTAGAATATAATCAGTAGTGAGGACGAAATGCTGAGAGAATGTCTCCAACTTCCCGTGTTTAGCCTGTTCAAGGCTGAGAACCCGAGTATCTGGCCTTGGTAGAAACCCCCTTGGTCTACCCTCGCAGAGCCCTGGCCAGGCTTTGGGTGGAATCAAACGGGAGAATGAAACCAGAAATTTTCCTCTTAAAGCAAAGGTGCCGGCTATTCTGGCCTGTCGATCTCTGGTCTATAGGGCTGGGCCCCTTTGCAGTGACTCTGGCAGCCTCACCTACGGGTGGAGGCACCGCGTAGGATTTCCCCCTTGCCGGGACAGGCTCCCCAAACCCTCGCTGTAACCGGGGCTGCCCAGCCACTGCGGGGCTGGATGGTGGTGATGTGCGAGTGGTGATGGATCTTTCTTAATCACTGTTATCTTTCTCTGGTACTAATGATTTGATGCATTACCCTGTATTTTCCTGTTTGTGGCTTTAGGTGCATTATTCTGCCTTTTCTTACTGCATGTTTTACTGTTACATTATTTGGTTATCACCAGTAAAATACGCCTACTCTTCTCACTCTGGTGTCCAAGTTTAACCGGCATCCTTAATCAGCAAAACAGCACCTCTTAGGTCCAGCATGTTGAACTGTGGCCCTTTGCCAGTCATTTCCCTGCAGCGTACGCACACAGCAGCTGTGCCATATGGCCCTGCTGGTCTATGCTAGGCATTTCCCTTTCCATGATGCACGGATTTGCGACAGCCATGTTACAGGTTGGCATGCTGGCTCCAATCCTTATCCAGACAACATTTTTCACTAATTTGAGACTCTCAGGTTTACATTTTGAAGTTTGCATTTTTTTAAAAAAATCCACCCACACTTCTATCCTCAAAGTTTAAAAATGTAAGATGAGTACATCCTCAAGTAACCCTGAAGGCAAACAGGAATATCAGTGTTATCTACAACTTGTAAGACACACATATGAAACAGTATCCTGCCTTTTACAGATGTTTTATCACACTCTGTCTTGATCTACTGCTTCAAGACAAAATCAGAGCCCTCAGAATTTCATCACCAGCCATCAGCCCCCTGGGTTGGGTGCCAAATAAGTACAGACCCTTTTGTTTCTGGTCCAGCTTCTCTCAAACCTGTCACACCAAATGGTTTCTGAGCTTCACAGCTTAAGCTGAGGTCCCCTTCAAGCCATGGATGCTCTCCTAGGCACATCTGCAAGAGAGCAGGTCAGGCACCCCCAGATGCACCTTGTTGTCCAAATTCCACTTCTGCTGTAATAACACTATCAAAGAAAAATTATCGGTAATAAATTCCTTTGGGTCCAAAGT